TGATATACACAGACCTCTGGCTTTGTCTGCTGGGCAGGTGACCTCCAACTAAATGAGTTTAGTCAGTGTCCCCTAACAAGAAATGTTCCTGTTTCTCCACACTTCACCAAGCCCCCTGAGTATACAGAGACCCTCACTCCCCCACAAACAGACAGATACCATCAGCTGTGCGCACATGCCCACCTGAGACAGAAGTGGGCTATGCAGCCCCACCTGTCAAAACATGCACACGCGTTTGTGTTCACAGCTCTCCCGTTCGTTCACTTAAGCATTCACTGGAGTGACTCTGCAGTAGGCGTTGCAGATACAGCAAGGAAAAGATGCAGCTTTCGTGCTTGAGATGCTCACGGCCCACTGGACAGACAGGCGTTTCGACACGATGAGGTAAGAGCTGCAGCAGAGACCCACAAAGGGGAATCACGGAGGAGAGAGTGTCTAGAACTTTCTGGAGAAGTCAAAGAAGGCAAAATGAGCTGAGACATAGTCTCTTTGGATGGCCTCAGTTTCTTCATCTGAAAAATAAGCTTAACAACAGCAGCCACCTCAGAGTGCCAACATGAAATGCAATGTAGCCTTGTACATAAAGCATTTGACCCAGCGCCCAGCCTGAGTAAAGGCTCAGTTATGTTAACCACCCACATTAGTATTAGCAGCATTACTAAATGAGCCCCCAGTTGTAGGCGTAAATGCACAGAAATGATTAACTAAAGGATATTATTTATCATTCATTTTCTAGAACTAGGTCCTGAGTTTGACGCTAGGGTAGTTTGGTTGTTAGACGACAGCCTCCTACTGGCCAAGTGTGGAATTGCACGTCTACTCTATTAGCCACTATGTATTTCCAGGAAAAAAAAGAAAGCTATGTGCCTGAGCTGTGATGACGGAGACTTGGAAACTCAAATCTGGTGAGAGAAACCCAGGCAGGAGTGAGGAGAATATGGGGAGAAGGTAAAAAGGCTGTGAGGCATCCTGGAGTTGAACTGGCCTTCGATAGACAACTATGATACCCAGCATCTTAGGGGCCTGGCAAATCTCTTGACAACTTCTCTATGTTTTCAAAAAAGCCTTTTGAGAATGATGACGCCTTTCCAACCTCCCACCCCCCACAATCTAACGATGGCAGGTTACAAAACAAATAAAATTTGTTTTTCTGAAATTCACTTTACAGTGAGTTTGCCTGGAAAGCTGGCTCGGTGAGAGGTCCCTGATATTCCTTGTCAGGAAAGCACAGTATATTCCAGAGGCCACAGAAAAAAACTTTCAAATACCTATAGCAGGCCGCCCAGTAGAACTTTCTGGGAGGGCAGGGAGGTTCTATGCCCGGTACTCTGCCCAATATGGTACCACTAACTATAGGTGGCCAGTGAGCTCCTGAAAAGTGGCTAGTCTGACTGAGGAGAAGGATTGGTATTTTAATTTGATTTAATTAAATTTAAATAGCCACATGTGACTAGTGGCTGCCATATCGGACAGCACGGACCCAGGGGCTCGGATCACATACACTTTCTTGAGTCTTTTCTCTAGTTTTGGCATCTTCTTCTGCAAATTGGCCAGACCCAGGGGCAGAGTGTCCAAGGCACAGGCCTGGCCAGCTCCTCCCAGCACAGGCCCCCACCTCACCCCTAAGGGATCCACAAGGCAAGACCTTCCCAAATGTCCAGCCAGAGGTCTCGTTAACCCCAAGGGGTGATCCCCTTGGCTTCAGACAATTTCATCAGCTCCCCCAATCTATCCAAAGAATCCAGTCCATTCACTAGTTTCCAAAAGCTCAGGATGACCCCACTGCTAAGATGATGTCTTTGGGACCAGAGGGGCGGCCGCTGCGCTTTACACAGGTTTTGGGCCATTTTGTGCCCCCTGGGCTGAACGGGCAGAGGCAGCCTCATCACAATGCCCTGCTTTTCCCTTCTAAATGGATTGGAGACACAGCCCTGGCTGGGCCTGTGTACCCTATTCATCTCCTTCCAAGCCAGGCTCTGTGAGCTCATTCACGGAGGATGGGTGAAGGAAGCGGGGACGCCAGCACACATACAGAAAACAAACAATGCTGGCAGCTCCTTGTTCGGGGGGGCGGCCGCAGGGACACGGAGATGGGGAGATGAAGCCAGGGGGTTAGTCTTGCGGGGTGGGGGGGGGGCATCTGGCTGAGCAAGGAGCCTGGGGCTCCTGTAGCTGCTTCTCCCACCACCTCCAGAAACCCTGCCCCAGCCTTGGCTTCAGGAGCCCCCATCTTGGTAAGCGCTTATCTCTCTCCGTTCAGCTGGCTCCTTGGGAAAAGAGGCCATGGGGAGGGAAGAACAGAGTGACAGCAGGCAAAGAGAGAACTGGCAGCATGGAGTCACTTCCCAGGAATTCCCTCCTGCCCATAGACAGGCACGCGAGGCTCCCCAGGTCCCAAGGAGAGCCCCAAGTCAGCTGAGCTGCTCCCTCAGTCCAGCTACAGAAGCAAAAGGACCCAAGTATTTGGCTCCGGTGGGCAATTTGCATGCAATTTGCATACATCTGCATACCCCTGCTCCAGAAGCCCTCAGTTGAAGGATGTGAAATGAAATAAAATAAATTAATTAGTGCAGCCTTCCATGGCCCGTCATGCAGGGCCTGACACCCTAAGAGATGTACTAGCTGAGTTTTAAAGCAATTAATGTGATGGCAGGCTAGGATGGAGAGAGATGGGGTGGGCGGCTGAAGGGGAGTTCTCAGCTTCCGGGGTAGAAAAGGGAGGGAAAGTGTCCCTCTGAATTGGAAGCCTGGCATTGTCCTCCTGCGCCAGCCCTGTCCCCCATCTTCAGAGAGCGCAGCGTTGACCACATGGAGGCCTGCTCCTGGTTTCCTATCTGGGCCTGGCACTGGCGTTGCCTGGCAGCCACCTCTGCAGAAAGATTTTTACCACGGATGCGGTAACATTCGATTTCAAACACAGGAGAGAATATTTGCTCCAAGGGCTGGGAAGGCAATGAAGTGCCACCAGCATTTTCCCGTCTCCAAGCTCCCTCCCACCTTCACCCCCACTCACTGTTACCGTTGGGTCCCCATATTTCTCTCTGCCAGTGGGGCACGCCCTTCACCACCCCTCACTCCCATCCCATCTACGGATGGTAGAGGGAGACGCGGCCGCATCGTCAGCAGTGAGCTGGAGTTACTTCAGCCCCGTCCTCCTGCCAGGTGCTAATGAGAGGCTCACAGCGTGTGTCAGCCAAGCAATTCCCATATCATGTAAATACGTCTCTTAGGATTCAGTTCGTGGCACTATTTAACATATGCCTTGACTTCCTCTAGGCCCGCTGATCTATCCAGGATAGAAACCTCATCTAAAGCTGGGGCCCCGCGGGGTGCCAAATGTTAGGTCCACACCTGCGGTGTCACAGACTGCCACAAGAGCTGGGGTGGAGGACCCTAGAGCTGATTCTAAGGGGGAGGGGCTACCATACTAAGATGGAGGACAAAGATTTGGGTTAAAAGGAGCTCAGGTCACAGCCAATGAAATAGCCGCGACAACCAGCAAATGCTGACTCCAAGACCAAGAATGCAAGACAACAGCAAGGACAGGGTGGTTCAAAGCAAGTCTGGACCAAGAGCGAGAAGGAGATTGAGGAGTGCAGCTCTGAGCCAAGCCTGCGAATGGTGAGTGTGCCCCAGCGCGGCCCTGTGACCCCGGGTTTCCATGCACAGCACGCGGATGTGGTACAGCATGAAGGAGAAAAGGAGTCAGTGCCAGGATCACGAGGCTGTGCCCGCCCCGTCCCCCACCCCTCTCCTCCACCCTCCATCCAGAGCAGCTCCGTTTGACTGCGTCATCCATTGGTTTCGTCTGAAGAAAGGGGGACGCAGCTTGCAAGGGTTAGAGAAGTGTTGTTTTCGATCAGGGGTTGGCAAACCATGGCCAGTGGACCAGTCAGCCCACAGCCTGGTTTTGTACGACCTACGAGCCAAGGATGATGTTTCACCTTTTCTAACGGTTGAAAAAAATAAAGAAGAAGAACATTTTGCGACACATAAAAATTATAGGAGATTTGAGTTTTGGCACCCTTGAATAAAGTTTTACTGGAACCCGGCCACGCCCTTCCTCTGACACACTGTCTGTGGCTGTTTTCCCACCTACAACAGCGGAGCTGAGTAGTTGCCACAAGGAGCATATGGTCCCCAGAGAGGGAAATATTTACTATCTGGGCCTCTCGGAATAATCTTGCCAGCCCCTGTTTTACATCAGGGAAGGGGAGCTCTCCGCCTACCCCATTCCCCACATGGCGGTACCTTGTGCTGTGCAGACTTGAGCACAGGATTGCAAGAAGAACGTCAGAGACAACTGGACCTTCTTCTGAGCCTGGCCACCTTCCACTCCCTTGTGGCAAAGGGAGACCAGGCTGGGATGGTCGGTCCAGACACACGAAGGTTTCCATCAGTGGCTGAAAAGGCCAACGCTTGTGCCTAAGACCCACAGCTGGTCCTCCTATTGCCAACACCTGGGCCCTGGGCAGGTGGGCATCTGCACATCTCTAACAACATCGCACCTCAGCCCTAAACTCAGGGTGTCAGGCCAGGACTAGCCCTATACGCAATAGAATAGGAGGCAGGCTTTCTCCGTAATCTGGTTTTGAAGAAGGTAGGAGGCTGTCCTGTCCTTCTCTCTCCCCTACCAAAAACACGACCCAAAGACTACACCCAAAATGCCATCCTTCCACATTCCTTCGTTGGGACACTGCTGTAGGGTCCGCAGGGTCCTTAGTGACTCATATTTGGTACTAGTGGGGCTTTCTGAGCACAGGGTCACGTCAGGGACACAAAGAACAAGATAGATTCTGAGGGCAGAACACAAGGCTGGGCAAAGCGGACTTTGAGGAGGTTTCGGCAGAAGACAGGGACCCGGCAGAGGGCACAGGGCAGCTGGGGTCTGGGTTAGGGCTGAGGCCATAGCCAAGCCTGTGAGGGTCTCCAGAGGTGGTCTGGGGACTTCACCCTCAGCCCTGGCCGTGGGCGCAGAGGGGACAGTGGCAGCAACTTACCCGGTACCACACGATCTCACGCATGCGACCATCCGTCTTGAAGTTACACTTCAAGGTCACGGCGTCTCCGGCCACCACGGGTGGGAGGGGCTCAATGTTGACAGTCAAGTAGGCTGTGGAAGAAAGGAGAAAGGGACAGTGAGGGCACGAGCTGATCAGGAGCAGGGTGGGGCTGATCGGGGCGGGGTGGGGGAGAGAGTGGACGCAACCGTGGGGGGCGCTGTTCACGCGGTAGTCTGCGTGATGGGTGGCTGTGGGCCTGAGTGGGGCTCCGTTGACCTCTTCTTCCTTCCCATTGACGTCTGCCTCTCTGGGAAGCTCTTTGGCTCCCACGTTGCCCTCCAACCTGAAAACATTTCTTGGGAGGAATTTTCCCATGAAAATAGGACCTGCTGGCACTTGGAGGAAGTGCCCCGATGTATTTCTACAGGATATCCCAGAGAAACGGGCCTGTGGTCAAACACGGCCCCTCCAACCCCCCTTTAGAGAGTCGCGACATTCGTGGGTGAGTAAGCCCTGCAGGAAAGGAACTCACTGAAATGCCTTTGAGCTAGTGTTTCCAAACCTCCCTGACCATCGGCCCCTTGGCCATCCCTCAAACCCCACCAGGAGCCTACGCAGCCAGGGTCGCGTGAAGCCCACATTGGGATATGGCATTCCAGGTGCCCAGACCCCTCCACTCCCAGCCTCATAACCAAATTACTCCCGGAGAGAAGAAGGGAAGAGAACCCTGAGATACTGTTGCTTGCTTCCTGAACCCCCCAAATCTCCCATCACACACACCCTGCCACCCAGAGGGAGACGTAGTTCCCCCCTTGGCCATGGCACTGGTGATGGTAGTGGAGGGAGAGGGGAAGGGTGGGCCAGCTGCCTGGAAAGGGGTCTCAAACCTCTGCAATGCCCAGATGATGCCGCTCGCCCCCAGCTGCCCCTGGGAAAACCTCCCAGCCCCCAGGAGCTGGGACTCTTGCCCTGCAGCCACCCCTGGGGAGCACTGCTACCTCCACACCAAAGTCCAGCCTGGCCAGGCCTCCGACCCACTCCTCTGCCTCCAGAACCCCAGCCCAAGGGGCGGGGCGCCCACTGCAGCTCGGCAGGGGAGCTCATTCTTGAGCCGATTGTCCAGGCTCATTGTTTTGTTTCCCACCAGCTGATGTCCAGCCATTGATCTAATGGATCAATCCAGTCCAATCGTCTTAATGAGAAAACTAGCCAGGATGGGTTCGGGGATTTCAATTGTGCAGGCAACCTGAGCGGATCGAGCCCAGGGGCCTGACCCCTGCCTGGAACTTAATGGTTACAACACTCCAGAAAAAAAAACAAAACAAATAAGAATCAACCTTGGAAGCATCAATTTGGAAGCTGGAGTCAGACTCGACCTGCGTGGTCCGAGCTTCAGGTCCCAGTGCCCAGGTGAGGGGTAAGGAATGGGGCTTGCCCCTAGGCGGCCTCTAACTTAGGCCAGAGGACAGGTGTGCAGGGAGCCCAAGGGGTCCATGAGAGCAGCAACTGGAGCTAACTGGACAGGCAAACCTTCTGTGTCCTTTCCTCACTCATTCAGCCCCAAAGTTTGCTGCCACCTGCTCTGAGTAGGCCCCGGGCTGGGATCCAGGAAGCAGGGTGGCTTGAACATAGTCCCATTCTCCAGGAGCGCACAGTGGGGGGACAGGTTCACCACATGTTCACACTCAGTGGGCCAGGGTGATGTAGGAGGGAGGTGGGGGGCTGTGGGAGGGGAAAGGGGAAACCTGGCCCAGCCTGGCTGACCAGGGAAGTCCCCAGCCCAGCTGGGTCCCAAGCCACGACAAACAAGGAGGCCACCCACAAGGGGATGAACCCCATCGAGAAAGGACCCTGAGGCAGGCCAAGCCGAGTGTGAAATGGTAACAAGGGCTCCTGTTTCCATGGCACCCACTCTGAGGCCACCGCTGGGCTCAGTGCTTAAGACACACTCACTCATGCAACTGGCACGACAATCCTGGGAGAGGAATAAATATTATCCTCACTTTCCATGGAGAAACAGAGAGGTGAAGCAACCTGCCAAGAGCACACAGCTGTAAGTGGCAGAGCTTGGGTTCAAACCCAGACCTTCTGTTCCATTTTGACCCCCATGCTCTGTACAGCCTCTTTAATGATGGGAGAGGAGGAAAGAGCCAGCAGACATTTCACGTCCAGCCCTGGGGAGGAGGCGGTGTGTTACTGGGGGGCCGTGGCAGGAGTCTAGGACCCGGTCCCAGCCTTGGGCTGAGCCCCTGGCTCACTTTTCCAGTGGAGCTGCCCTCTCTGGCAGATCTCAGCTTTGAAGGTACCGCTAAGAGTGGGCATCATCAGTCCAGATGGCTGAGGAGCTCAAGACCAGAGAAGGGCCGCCCCCGGAAGGAGGCAGGAAGGACACTCTCTCAGAGGCATCAATCTTCCAGCCAGTCCACGGTGGGTGCAGATGGTGCTGGCATGGGAGGCGGGCAGGGGGGATGGAGGTGCCAGCTTGTGGGGTCACCGTTTGTTGGCAAGCCATGGGGGAATTACAGGTGTGAGCGCGGTGGGGGTTGGCAGGGATGGCTGGAGCGCTGGGAACTAGTGACAGTGTTAGGGGCACCACAGGTGTAGCAGATGTCTAAGGCGACGGGATGCACAGGGGCCTGCCCGGGTGAGAGCAGGGAGCAGCCCACTGCACATCTGAGAGAGGGGTCCCTGGGACACAGGAGGAGGAAAATTAGAAGCTGGGTGCACGAGTGGGTGGTTCTGACATCTGAGACAGCTTTTCCCAGAGTGTGTACAGAATCGGGAGCTTCTAATAAACGTTTCAGGCAACAAGGCTTCTGTTATCAGCTAAATGTGAGAAATATTGGGCTAAACAAAATTAAACACATTCCTTCCCTTTGAGACTTCTCAGAACCTTTCTCTCCTTCCTTCTTCCTGTCCTGCCTTCATGCATAAAAAATATTTATTGAGCATTTGTTCAGGACCAGGCACTGTTCTAGGCAGTGGGGATGCAACAGTGAGAATAAGCAAGTCCACCGTCGTGGAGCTGGTCTTCCAGCAGAGGAGACGATAATCAAATAAACAAAGGATGGCAGCTATGTCAGGTGACGATAGTGTAATGAAGAAAAATAAATCAGGGCTGCTTTGGACAGGCTGGTCCGGGAGGCCTCTCTGAGGAGGCCAGAATAAAGGAAAGTGTGAGCCACGTGGGCATCTAGAAGGAGAGCATTCCACATAGAGGACATCACACGCGCAAAGGCCCTGAAGCTGGACTGTGTTCAGAGCGCTCTGTGATGCTCCAAACTTGGGCCACGGTGGGACATTTTTTCGTAACTTTGTACACTCTGGAGCCCAGGTTTGGCTGAGCATCTTGAAAGACCGGAACCTGGGCTGGGGCGAGAGTGAGGCAAGTAAGATGCCTAGGGCGCCAAATGTAAGGGGGCGCTGACTCCCGCTGCAGGACCCTGAGTCCCGCTTGCCTCCCCCTAGTCCCCACCCTGCTAGAGTCCTTTAGAAGAACGTTAGGACACGTCTTCCTCAGCTGAGGCAGAAGTGACTATGGGTCCCATTCCCCAGGTCCCCTAGCTGGAGCCACAGAGGGTGGGGATGGGGGTGGAATGCTCCGAGCTGGGGGTCCTCCTCTTCTCAGCCCCTCTGGAGTTGACGGAGCGGGCTCCGGGCTGCAGAGCGGGCAGGAGGCCTCGGCTCTGAGGACTAGACCCTCCTTCCTGGGCACGTGGCACTTTCTAGTGTTCCCAGCACTTTCGCTCCCAGTTTTTCATCAGCTCCCACAACAACCTGTGCACGCCGCGTAAGATGCCGCCCTTGCAGTGTGTCCCACTGGAGCCTAATTGTCTGTTTGCACACCTGCCTCTCCTGGAACGCGGGTTCTGTTAATACCGCTGGGGCAGGAACATAGGAACACCCGTGCTCCTTTTTGAGCATCCGTGCATGCAGGCAGCCTCCTCCTCGTGGCCCCCTTGAATGCTTCTGTCACAGAGGAGGAACGGCCGTGCAGGGCGGCGCGGCGCCCTGCTCAATACCACCCCCATGTAAGCAGCAAAGCCAGGACTTAAATCCAGATCTGTCAGACGCCGAAGCCAATCTCTTTCCACTACCCTTTGCTACCACCCGGAGCAGTCATGTGACTTGCAGAGGTCACGTGGGAATTCGGGGGTAGCCCCCCGATTCGCCTCTCCATTGACTGCATCTTCATTCGAGGCCTGGCTCTCAGACGGGGCCCGGGAGCCGAGGCAGGGGCTGGAGGAGCAGACCTGGAGCTGCACACCGAGCCATGCAGACTGCAAGCAGACAGGTCTGGGGGTGAGATCAGGCCCGAGCGAGGGATGGTGGGCAGAGGGGAGACCCCACGGCCCCTCAGGGCTGGAGATCAGAGCCTCGCAATGAGCTGCAGGCTCCCCGGGCCTTTCCTATCTGAGGCCAGGACAAGCCTCAGGCCACGTGTGGGCTCTGAGCCTCAGGTCTGGAGGCAGGGCCGCTGGCGGGGTAGGGAGGGGGAAGGCGGGAGGCAGGGCGATTTTCTGACAGATGTGCCAGGTGAGGATTGCGTCAGTGGTGGTCAACACCTGGCTCCCAGGTGAGAACTCACCTTCCCAGACACAGATACACACAGGAGAGGGGCCAGCAGGGGTTCGTGGCCAAGGAGTTCTTTGCAAAAGAAAAATGGAAAAGTTCTCCTCCAGGTCCGACTGACATTCCTCCAGCTCCTATTTCACAAAATTCCATCATCTTTCGAATTCCTGTTCTTTCTCTGAAAATGCCCTGCCTCGCCTTCCTTGCTTCTCCCACCCACACGCCTCCAACAAATCTGAAGTCAGTTATCCGGTTCAAGTTCCTCCCTCTACCACTCAGTAGTGACCTGGGCAAGTTGTGTGGCCTCCGTGGGACTCAGTTTCCCCGTGCATAATGTGGACGTGGGAACAATCACAGGGTCCAACGCGGTGAAGCACATCCTAGGGTGTGGTTCGCCATGTGCCCCGCCCTCACAGGTGGGCGCCCTGAGCAGGGTGAAGCAGCCCCATGCTTCCCGGCCCCCAGACCTCTCCTCCCTCCCACCTCCCACGGTCAGTTGAGGAAGGATGGTCCGGGATAGGGGTGGGAAGGGCGGGGT